TGGCGGATATCCTACAGCATCAAACGTTTATACGGGACCTGAATCATTCGCTTACGGCGAAACTAAGTTGACTTTTATTTGTATTTCATAACAATTCAACGAATTTATTTTGTGTACATTATTATAATCACTTCTGAGTAATAATCAACAAATCAGAAACGCAGCATGCCGAGATTTTTGTGTTCGTTTTTATTTGAAACTTCGTTTATTTAGAATATATTTTCGTTACCAATATAATAAAAATCTCTCAGTCAATCAGAAACCCGGATTCATGCCTTGGGGGGAAAGTCCCGTTTGAACGCTCACATCGTTTTTTTTTTTTCGTTTGGGGGAAAACCAAAACTGGTCGCTATTTTCGAATAAGAACGAGTCGGCAATTTTTAGTGGAGTCGAAAATTCGGAGGTAAATACAACACCGAAAACCGAGAAATAATTAGGCGAGCAAATTTTTAGAGGGGTCAAAATTTTGGAGTTTTTACGGTAACTGGTAAAATCGGTTGTCCACATAAAAATTGAGGTGTTTTGGTTTGTTTTTTTAAATTTAACAACAAATTCAATTTTGGTCTCTTTTACATGGAATACACCAGAATTATTGTGCTGCTATAATAATGTAAATTTATGACAAAAAAAACCTTAGTAACTACTATGTTTTTCATTGACATTGTACAATTACATGTTAAAGTTGTGATTCCTGTGGGCAAATGGACAACAAGTTTTCTTTTCTGATAATCCAAGACAAAAGTAGTTCTGGACAAAAGTTGGTTGTGTCAATTTCAACCCATGGGGTGTTTTAACTGGTCTTAAATGCTGTCAATTCTTTACTTTCATAATTCAGTTAATCACTGAAATCTACAACAAAGTATCTTATTTACAGAATAGTTTTACTTTACTAAAATGTCAGGTTCTGTGACAGTGTTGTATGACATTCTTGACCTATGGAGTCAAAGGACTCTTGTCACTCAACATACTGAAGTCATCGTCTGTATTAAAAAATATATATAAAAATAGTATTTCTTAGTTCATGCGTGTTCTTACGTTCCTATGTTCTACCTGTACGTTATTACACTTTCTTCTATGCTATCGATAAAGAGCCATTGCTCGAAACGTCTAGCTATTTTTAATATTTATTTAGGACTACGATTACCAAATATTATCTTCTATATAGTATTTCTTATAACATGCAAAAACAGAGGGTAGATCTGATTTACATTTTTTAAAGATTTTTTGACGTCTTGATGCCCAATTAGTTTTCCCCTTATGCCCTTTGGTATTCTGTTATTCCTAAGTGTTAAAAGCAATTTCATAAATTTTGGCCTCGATAGTATGTGCCCTCTGAACTCCAAGTCGTGCGTGTTTTAGTGATGTCCTCTCAATTTGAGCTCAATTTTGGGCAATGGTCTTGTTTCATTCAAATCATAATGAAATTGTCATTTTATAATTTTTACCTTGCCCGTACCATCAAAGATGGAAGGGAAAGGTATATTAAGGGAAAAATTTTGTCCGGTGTTGTCGTTGTTGTAGTCGTCGTCGTTAATAATTGTTATTGTGTGCATAATAACTTTACTAATTCTATTCCAAACTTTATCAAACTTGGTCACCTTATTCATCAGTATAAAGTCTTCCCTGAGTTTGAACAACAGATGTCCTGTATGAAAATATCATGCAAAAATTGAGAAAATCTGATAAAATATTTTGACTGTTTCCACTTGACTGATCACTGGTGATACACATCAAAGGTCACTGATCCAGGGTTCTCCCCAGGGCTTTTTAGCGCCGAGGTCCGCGGCGCTATACCTGTGAATCTCGGCGCTTCACTTGGGACCTCAGCGCTATGTGTTCCCACCTCGGCGCTTGATTTCATATTTGACATGCCAATATCAGATGTGAAAAAGCTTTGTTCGCCACGCCGGTCGGCCCCGACCGTCACTCAAAATTAGTGACCACCACAGAAATGCTCCCGACGAGGACTATTGTCGGATTGTTGGTATAACTACGTACCGACCGACACGCATCCTGCCAGTCGTGGATTATAATTTATAAACAATAGACCTAGTCGCACGATACGTAGCGGCTAGTCAAATTTGTGGAATTAGCACCTCTTTGTTTGTAAGTAAATACTTTCTGTGAATAGACACAGTCTTTAGATTGAAAGCTAAAATTATTTCAA